CTGCTAAGTCAGTGGTGTCCACCTTAAGTAACTTTAAGGCTTGTAGACTTCAAGCTGGGGAATTCTGGGAGTTGAAGTCCGTAGATATTAAAGTTATCAAGGTTGGACACCCCTGTTCTCAATACTCTGAAAGAAGATCCAATCCATTTGGAGCAGTGGTGGGATTCAAATTTTTTTTACTACGAGTTCTGTAGGTGTGGCAGGGGAAGAATACTGTACAATCTCCAGTCAGAGGTGATATTTGCCCGTTTCCGAACTACTCAAAACTTCCGCTACTGGTTCTCCAGAACTGGTCAGAACCTGCTGAATACCAACTCTGATTTGGAGAGAAATAAAACAAATTCAATTTGTTTTAAAAGTTAAATTAAATTGTTTTAATTAAACTGTCCCTGAGGATGAGCTCCAGCACGAATCTGAAAACTCAGAAGACTAAACTTCTGGTCCCAGTGAGCCAACAAGAATTGGATCCTGCAATGTTTATCCTGGCAAAGATCCACGTATATTTGCATTCATTTGTGAGAATTTAAAACAGGAAGGCTGCCTGTCACACTTGGCCGGAGATAGCAAAACATCACGCAGGGTAAGAAAAATCTTTCAGAAATGTATTATTTCCCTCCCTCCTCAAATCCTCTGGGAAAGAAAAGCTCTTGCAGATATACCTTTGCTCAGCAACAAGCAAGAAAAACACACAATCCCTGCAAGGGTCTTAATTATGGGAGTAGAAGTCCAATGCCTCTGTTAGAGGCACCTGGTAGCGAAAAGCTGCCTTCTCAATTTCTAGCTTCCACAGGTAATAGCAAATTGTACCTGACAGAGAAGGAAAAAACTCTCAACAACGAAGACAAGCCTGAATGTTAAAGAGGTTAGGCAGAGGACATTCCACCTCCTAAAGCAATCCTATCTGAATTGATACGGGCACCACAAGTGGCAGAACTTCTTCCGAATGAAGCCGGACGCAAGGAGAAAGTGACTGATACTTTGTCTAATGAAAAGCAGACTTGGATTTGTTCCAACCAGTATCAGTTCGGATAGGATTGCTTAGGATCTACAAAACAAAACAAAACAAAAACAAAAAAACAAAAACAAAACAAAAAACCAAAATCACTAGAAGAGTCTGCATTGCTATTGTGAGCTCAGAGTTGGGTTGAAGAGATCTAGGATACGTTCATAGTCAGGTGTAAACTGAGCGAAAACTGAAAGATGTAAGCAAACAATCTTGTTAAGGACAATGCTGGTACTTGGCGTGAATAGCTGTAGAACAAGAGGTACAGAAGGACATCTTTACTTTTTGTGCTGAAGATGAGCGTATGTGTGTGTGTGTCTTTGAGTAAGTGTTGACTCAGAAGGCGTGCGGGTGGTGGGGAAAAATGATCCAACAGATTTCATGCCTGCAGTGTCAAGAGGCACTTTGGGTAGTGAGATGGTGGGGGGACGTTTAAACGTAATAAACTCACAGCCCCCTGGATTCTAGACACGTGCCTCTGAAGAACTTCTAGCCTAGCGCTCTTGAAGGATTTGAAGTCACAATTCCAGTAAGAACAAAAATGACAGCTCTCCGACAGGTGTATTTCGGGTTTCAGATATATCTCTGGAAGGTGCTCTGTTACTAACAGGTTTAAAAAAGCAGTTTGACGAAGACTTTAGGAGTGAGACAACTCACATTTGTTTTCTGAAAAGCAGGAGGAAAAATGAAAGAGATAACTGATAAACCCTCAATCCCCCATTATTGTGCTTGTCCCAGGAAGGACTAATGAAGCAAACAAAATCTACTAGCCCTGAAAATCTTAACCATCCACCAGTGTGCACATTTTCAGAGATCATGCACATTGCTGTAACGCTAAAGGCACAAACCTGTTTCTTTCCAGAGCTGAATTCAACATCTGAAAGCATCTTTCGTTCTTCTCATGCAGGGGGTCTCCAAATTTGGCAACTTTAAGGCTTGTGTGGACTTCAACTGTCAGAATGGCTGGCTGAGGAATTCTGGGAGCTGAAGTCCTCAAGTCTTAAAGTTGGCAAGTTTGGAGACTCCTGTTCTAACACACAAATAGAATTATCCTATGCAGCCTTTCCTGTCTTATTTGTATAACAATGCCCGTGCACACTGCTGTAAACCTTAAATAGCTGGAGGATAGAAAGTTAAGGAAGTCTGCCTTAGAATTCAGAACAACACAAGTTGTCCATATGGCTATCAATTATAATGCTCCTAATTTCACATATTCAGGATCCCCCTTCTTTCCCTTGGGTATAAGTGAAAAGAAGTAAGCCAGAATAATACGTGTAACTGTTAAACTAAAGTTTTCCATTCATGATTCCTTTGTGTATAAAATTTATTTTCTTTTCAATGGACAGAGATTGGGTGAATGGGGTGTAGAATGGAAGAGAGAAGGAAATGAAACTGACAGCTGTCTAAAAATGATGGGAAGGTCCCAAACTATGCTCCCACCCACCCACCCAATTCTATACCCCCAAAACCAGAGATGGAATAGACTCCATACTCATAAAGCAAACTTCCTTCTTCTATAACTGCTGGAGCTTTCTTAATTATTGCAGATTCAGATGAAAGGAAGATGCATTGGACAAGGGTATGTTGAAAGTCATTGAAAAGTTACACAATAGCAACACTATTTTTTGTAAGTGGTACAAAGATCATTATCTGTTTTGATAAATAGCAGCACAATGCCACAGGCTCAAGCTGAACACAACAATCAAATCTGCACTAAAAAGAATTATTCTTTCCATTATTCTTTTTGAAAAAAAATAAGGTTTCCTTTTCTCTGGATACCCCTCCTACAGAATACAGAAAACCTTTTATTAGCAGGACAAGACAAACCAAACCAGCAGAAAACCAACTAAAATAAAAAGCAAAACATCTATGGTAAACTGTTTTTGCCTGGGTAAATATGTACTAGCAAAATAGCAGCTAGGCATTTTGTTACGTATTCTATTATACTTCTTGTTTAGGGCCCTTGTGCATTATGCAAACCTCAAATATGGGCTAATTCAAAAACCAGGTTGGATGAGTGCTGCCAGAGGATTCTACGACTTGGTCAAGACCAGCCAACTAGATGTGAGGATTGCAACAAATGCCCCAAATAGCACATTTCTGAATTGGCCCAAAGTCTATGTACTCAGTGAATCTTTCATGTTTACCTTTTTCATAGCATCTCTGCCAATTTGAGGCTTATTCACAGAGTCCCAATAAAAACCACAAAACAACTCGTAAAGTATCCTTTAGAGTCCAGACTGAAATGGTGACTTCACAAACATATTCAGAGAATTTAATTGGCAACAAAACTGCTTCCTTTTGACTTCTTCCAGGATATCTTCTTTTCAATTTCTCTATCCACTCTACAGCTTGATCTACTCTACAGACTGATTTACAATTTACTTTGCAGATTTTCTTAACTGTACCTTATCCAAGTAGGACTCACCCTGCTCAGCTTTTGAAGATCAGTCAAAGCTCATCTTTTGGCTTAATCAATGTGGCCCAGGCTAAAGATCACACATTCACATGTACACACACAAAAATCTGTGATAGTGGAGTGGGGGGGTAGAAAAAATTTCATGTAAAAATGGATTTATCTCAAACATTTCAAAGTGCCCTCATTTTTTTTGAGCCTGGGCCTAAAAATTCACAAAGGCAAAAATCAAACTACCTAAGTTGCCTCATTAGCCCCCAAGCAAACAGAGTGTGAGATCCCAGGGCAACAAGCTCATTTTGCACACAAACACAACCTCCTTCAGTCTTTGGCCATACTGGGATGGTGAAAATGCACCCCAGATTCGGTATTCTTAAGGCTCAAAGGGACTCAGCAGAACACCACTCGTTGTCGAAAGTTCCCCACAGAGCTCTGACACTCTTCTACAAGATTTGAGTGTGAAAACCAAGGGAAAAAAATGGCGGGAGGGATTAATTTGACATAACTTCTTTGGGTAGCAAAGCAAAACCCCCAAAGGAGAAGGGATTGTGGATAAGGAAAGGCAACCAGTATGTAATTCCTGAGAAAACCAGAAGCAAAGTAGCACACACCCACTCCCTTCCCTTCTCTCCCAACCACCTACTAAGATACAGAAAATGCAAACTCAACACACACAAATACTCTTTAAAATGTAGGGTACTGAAGGGGGGGGGGTTGGGGAGGGGTCACAAAAGGACACTGGCAAGCTGACTACAGTTTCCAGGGCTGTGCTGTTATGTTTTGTTTTTGCACTTCCGGTTGAGGGCACCAGGTGGAAACATCTTAAGAGGCGTTTGCCAACTTCATTCTCTTTTAGGGACTACTAAGGAGGAGACCTCCAGTCAACCCAAACTCTTGGGGGTGACTTACCTCTCCTCGACCTTGCTCCGGGTTGCACACCGGGGCAGCCTGTCTGCACGCTCCCCAAACCTTCATGCTGCCAGCCGACAGAAAGTTTGCTCTAAAAAGCCTAAAAACTCAGATATCCCCAGAGCACCGCATACAGACGTGATCTCTCCGGCTTGCCTTTTCTCTTTAAGGCCACCTTGCCCCAAACCGCTTCCCCTGGAAAACGGGGTGAGGGGGCAGAGGCGATGGGTGCTGTAGTCCCAAGGCAGCCGGCAGAAGGACAAGTTGCACAAGACAAGGGATGCGGCCAGCGTTCTCCAGTGCCCCCAATACCCATTCCTTGTGGCTGGCCAGAAAACAAGGCATTCAGAGGAGGAGAAAGGAAGACAAGGGGTGGGTGTGTTTTCCCCCAATTAGCCGGGAGTGGGGTTTACATTAGAATTAGAAAAACAGAGTTGGAAGGGACCTTGAAGGTCTTCTAGTCCAACCCCCATGCTCAACCAAGAAACCCTATACCATTTCAGACAAAGGGTTATCCAATCTAATCCAGCCGACCCCCTTCCCCCCCCCCACCAGCAGGTCGGCTGGATTAAGAAAGTAGAATTAATTGCAGACCATCCAAAAACAGACGAGACCAGCTCTTCCCACCCACGGAGACCCAGGAACAGGGGGGAGAGAGAGAGAGACGCTCACCTTTGCCTCTGCACCTCCAAAGGTAGCCCTCCTGCTCCTCCTGCTCCTCCTCCTCCAACAGGGGCGCCCTGGGTGGGGCTGAGCAATCCGGGGGGCGCGATGCCCGTCTTGGGGGCCCCCATCAAGACCCCCGCTAGGGCGGCCGGGCTGACAGCGGCGGCGGCAGCGGCGGGCACCGGGCAGAGCGGGCTGCCCAGCAGCAGTTGGGGCAGGAGGGCAGCGGCCGCGCCCAGCCCGCGGGAAGGGTCCAGCTCGGCCGTGGGGGGCAGCAGGAAGCCCGGCGGGGGCCCGTGGGGGCCCGGCAGCAGCAGGCGGGGAGCGGGCTCGGCCGACGCCGCCCCTCTTGCCTCTTCCTCCGGCCGCTGGGGCGGCGGCGGAGGCGGCGGCTGAGGCTCTCCTGGGGCCGGCGAAGCGGGCAGCCCCTGCGAAGGCTTCCCGGGCGCCGGGCAGGACGGCGGTCGCCCGTCCAGGGAGATGTTGTTGAGGAAGAAGAGGGCGGCCTGCCTCCGCCGCGCGTCGCCGCCCCGTTTGCGAGCCCCGGCCGGCGCTGCCTCCGGAGGCTCCTCTTGGGGCGGCCGGCTCGTCGGGGAGCCACACGCAGCTGCAGCCATTCTCCCCAGCCGCGGCAACCTTGCCCCGCAGCCGCCACTCGCAGCGGCGGGGAAGCCGTCGGCCCGCCGGCCGCCCGCCCCCAGCTCGGGCGGGTGGAACCGACTCGCGCTTCCCTCTTTGGGCCGCTCGGCCCGGCTAAGGGAGGTGGCTCAGGAGCGCCCGGCCGGTCATTGGACGCGTCGCGGCGGTATGTAAATACAGACGCCCTTCGCCGCCTCTCATTGGCGCGCCGTCGGTCCTATTGTCACCGCCGCTCTGTTTTTCCCCTCCTCCTCCTCTCCTCACCCCTCCAACCGGGACCTTCTTCCTTTCTGTTTAACGCCTCTTCGCGAGGTCTCAAGGCCGCCGTGTTCAAAGGCCGGGAACGTTTTCGAAGGGGAAAAACAACAACCACCACAAGTTCAATTACCTTTTGGGAAAAAATCCCAAAGATACTTTTTCAGGAGGCAACTGGACTTTTCTTCTTTTTCCTCATCTTCCTCCTCCTTCCCCCCTCCTCCCCCCTTCTAACCCTAACCTTAAATAATACTTCATACTAGGATGGGAGACCACCAGGACTATAGATTAGAATGAGAAATTGAAATCCATATAGCCACCCCCCCAAAAAAATATTTGTTTTTAACCAATGCAAACCTATCAATACTTGGGCACTGGATATTATTATTGCTATCATTTTATCGTTTCATTTCATCTGATGTTATGCACTGCCTAATAATATTTTGAGACTGGTGGGGGTTTTAACTACATAATAGCAATAGCATTTAGACTTATATACCGCTTTGCAGTGCTTTACAACACTATCTAAGTAGTTTACAGAGTCAGTCTATTGCCCCAAACAATCTGCGTCCTCATTTTAGCAACCTCGGAAGGATGGAAGGCTGAGTCAACCTTGAGCCTGGAGAGATTCGAACTGCCAAATTGCAGGCAGCCGGCAGCCAGCAAAGTTATGTGCCACTGTGGCTCATTAATAAATAAAATAAAAAACTGTGATGCCTTTGCTTTTCCTGCTTTTATCTTTCTCTAGATGCAGCAGAAGTTAATTTCCAAATCAATCCTCCAACCCACCTGCTCGAGAGGGAATTTCTGGTGTGTAAAGCTTCTGGTTTGAAAAGAAAATTGAATATTGATTTTAAGATTTATGAAATGGTTTTAGGTTTTAATCTTTGTGTGCCACCCAGGGTCACCTTGGTGAAATCGGCAGCTATGTCAATTGTTTAAACAATTAAAGAATGAATAAGAAAGAAAGCACTCTCTTATTGAATGAGTAAGAAAGAAAGAAAGCTTTAAAAGCTTGCCCCTTTGAAAAGTTTTAAAAATGAAGAATTTATGTGCGCACACATATATTCTTCATTTTCAAAACTTTTCAAAGGGGCAAGCCTTTAAAGCAGCCTTCCTACTGAATCCTGTTTTCTGCATTATAGAAAAAGTTTTAAAAAGCACAGCCTGTGGCTAATTAATATATTAAAACTGCTAACATCAATTATTTATTAAATAGCAGATCATAATTTTTGCACTATGCCTACAGGAATTTGTTTCCTATTTTTTTTCTACTTCACATTGGGGGAAAACAGCCCTATCTGTTGGATTGCTTCCTGCAGGGTCCTGTTAAAACCATTGCAGGATCTCTGTCCCCCTCAAAAATTGTGAGGTGCAGCCCTAGTCGGCAAATTATCCGTTGACTTGTTTGTGGAAATTCTCAGTCATCTAAGTCATGGTTATCCCAAAGGTGCTTTGCTTTTTCCTTGAAGATGTTTCATTTCTCATCCAAGAAGCTTCTTCAGTTCTGATGGATTTTGTTTTTCCTTGAAGACATTTCACTTCTCATCCAGGAAGCTTCTTCAGTTCTGATGGATTTTGTTTTTCCTTGAAGACGTTTCACTTCTCATCCAGGAAGCTTCTTCAGTTCTGATGGATTTTGTTTTTCCTTGAAGACGTTTCACTTTTCATCCAAGAAGCTTCTTCGGTTCTGATGAAGCTTCTTGGGTGAGAAGTGAAATGTCTTCAAAGAAAAACAAAATCCAGTTGCCTTTTAAAAAAGCACCTTTGAGATATCCATTGACTTGCCTTGGAATCCTTGATGCCATTCACACAATACACTTAACCCTAAGGGGACTAACTTTCTTATTTTCTAAGTTGACACAATGCTGGTATATCAAACCATAAATTAATCCAATAGCCAAGGTTGACATTGACAGCCCGCTAAGTTGATCCAACCAACTGATGCAACCTTGGTTGAATTTAAGAAAGGCTCTGGTGTTTCTTCTGAATGCTGCTTCATTGCTGCAGATTTAGTGCTGGTATTTGACCCAGCCTGCAGCAGGCAATGTTAGCATCTCCAGAAGAAAAGAGTAGCTGTATGGAAGGTTATTTGCCAAGGTTGTAGAAATGTCCTTTCTTTTTCTTTTGAGTGTGATTGAATGGATTCATGGATTGCAAACTTAATATTATGGGATTTTCTTTCTCTGTTTGCTGGCTGGATCTTCTAATCAGGGAACAGTAAATGTGCCATTGAAAAAGGGTGTTTTCTAGATATGCTATCTGCAAGGACCAGCTGTTTATAGCTGTCAAGAGTTTTAGTAACTAGCCATGGTAGTCTAGACAGGAATTTCACTCCCTAGCTCACCCCGGATGTGAAATTAGCATAGAATCATTGGAGGAAAAATATTATTTTCATGTAGCGCTTGCTGTTGGAAAGGGGCTCTCTTTTTATTTCATGCTCGTTCACACAACATACTAAACCTTGATCTCAGGTTGGAAAGGGAAGCTTTTTAAACATTGACCTTGATTTTTAGTGACGTTAGAGCAGTTTTCTCAATTTTAACTACTTTAAGATGTATGGACTTCTTCAACTCAGCTATGCCGGCTGGGGATTCTGGGAGTTGAAGTCCACACATCTTAACACTCTGAAGTTGAGAACCACTGCTTTAGAAATTGGTTAATAGTATAGCAATATTTCACCCTGCCTTTTACCAGGAGGCAAATAAACAGGCAGATTCCTAGTCCAGCATCTACTCCTGGTGGTCTCCCATCCATGTATGAATGAGACCCAGCTCTGGTTTTAAAGTTCTTACAAGGTCAGCCTGGTGCTACCATGATTCCATCTGATTTGCATCACATTTATTTATCCTCATTTATTCAGTCAGCCAGTCATTTTGTGTCTGTCCTTGACTGATAAAATAATATTTGAAAGAAAAAGAGTCAAATTTAACTGTTTGAATATCAATGCAACCTATACCAGCGTAGAAATTGATTAGAGTGAAACAAACTATATAATCATGCAACAATACAAATATAATTCTAAGTTTAATTTGGAAATTAATATAGTGAAGCAATTAGAATAAGGCAATTAAGTGGTTATTCAGAATAATAGAATAGGGAAATTACCAGTCTAAAGTACAGAACTATTATAATACCAAAATCCATGGGGAAAAAATGGAAACAGCTCCCTTATTTAACTTCGTTCTATTTATAAAAACTGTTTTATAGACCTTTTATTTTTGCATTTTTATTGCATATTTTTTTACTGGGTATTTTATTTTCTGAATTGCCAAGAGACCTTTGGGACTTCAGCAGTTTCTAAATTTGGGTAATAAATAAATAAAAGGCGACATGTTGTACGTATAGCTTGAACCGCATTATGATTTAAGGCAGTCTTTTTTCAAAGTTGGCAACTTTAAGATGGCTGGCTGGAGAATTCTGGGAGTTGAAGTCCACACATCTTAAAGTTGTGAAGTTGAAAAACACTAATTTAAAATGGTGACCTGGTCTCATCATATATCTTTGCACATGGTGGCAGATTTCTACCACCACCCCTATTAAATTACGGCTAATCCTCAACCTACGACCAAAACTGAGCCCAAAATTTCCATTGCTAAGCAAGATAGCTGAGTGAGTTTTGCCCCAAGTGACCACCTTTCTTGCCACATTTCTTAAGTGAATCACTGCAGTTAAGTTAGTAACATGGTTATTAAGTGAATTTGGCTTTCCCCATTGACTTTGCTTATCAGAAGATCACGAAAGGGGATCCCATGATCCAGGGACACTGCAGCTGTCATATATATGAGTTATCAATCCTGTGGTCACGTGAGCAAAATTCAGACACAGCTCCTATACAGAATACAATGTTTATTCTATTCTGTTCTGTCCTGTCCTGTCCTGTCCTATCCCATCCTATCCTATTCCTTTCTATTCTATTTGATTCTATTCTATTCCTGTTCTATTCCTATTCCTATTCTTTTCTTTTCTATTCCTATTCTTATTCCTATTCCTATTCTGATTCTTTTCTATTCTATTCTATTTGGTTCTATTCTGTTCTATTCCTCTTCTATCCTATCCTATCCTATCCTATCCTATCCTATCCTATCCTATCCTATCCTATTCCTATTCTATTCTGATTCTTTTCTATTCTATTCTAATTCCTATTCTATTTTTATTCCTATTCTATTTTATTCTAATTCCTATTCTATTCCTATTCCTATTCTATTCTTATTCCTATTCTATTCACAAGTTGTGTCCAAATTTTACCACTGAGTTGCTGCAATAAATTTGCAATGTAAAGTTGCTGCAATTTTTTTCAATGCCTTTGTAATTTTTTTTAATATAAATTTTATTTGGGTTTTCACAAAAACATAATACAAATAAAACATTTTTTTTTGAGACTAGCGTGATCCCAGGTTATCGCTTCTTCACACAGACACAAACTCAATTTCATATTCATCTTTGTGTTCTATTCCATATCTTATTACTGTTTTAATATTTTCTCCATAATTTTTCCCCTCCCTTGGTTTTCTCAACTTTATTTTTAATTATCTATCTAAATTCAATTATATATCTTTTTCTAAGTTTCAATGTCTTTCCAATCATTATATTTATACTTTTGTCTGTCCTGTTTCAATTTCATATTATCTTTTCTCATTAAACAAATTTTCCCCTGTAGATACTAATTGGAGTATGACACCTTTATATCTTTTAATTTTATCAATTCAACTCTTATTTAAACTTCAATTTATGCTTTAAAATTAT